AGTCAATTTTCGAACCAGAGATCATAAAATCACTAGGGAAGCAAGCACTACTGCCAGCCAGAATATCTCATAGGGAAACAATGTATGTCCAACAAAATCAACAGATGGAACAATATATACACAATCACAAACTATTCAATTTTCGAACCAGAGATCGTAAATTCATTAGGGGAAGCAAGCACAACTGCCGGCCCGAATATCTCATTAAGGGAAACAATGTATCCAACACATTCCAACAAAATCACCAACAGACGTAACCATAAATACACAATCACAAACTATTCAATTTTCGAGCCGGAGATCATAAAATCCCTAGGGGAAGCAATCAAGAATGCCAGCCAGAATATCTCATAGGGAAACAATGTCAAAACCATAAATAAAATCACAAACTATTCAGAAAGAGAAACTAAGTAGACAGAAAAAAAAAAAAAAAAAAATGTCATGGATGCCAAGCAATACGTCTATGGAGTGGAGCTCTGGACATATGGGAAAACTCTCAGAAGCCTCGAATCGTCATGGATGCCAAGGTACTCCAAGTGGCGCGTCGAACAATCGTAATACATTAAGTCACCATTCGCATCCTCAAGCAACGCTTTATCATTGTCGTATAGTCCTAGAAATATCCGGAGAGGATAACTACCTGGGGGAGTAAAGGCATGAGTCGACTCGCGATACCAGCGCCTCCATTTCCACACCCATATCTCAAACGAAGGGCTCCAACCAATTGTGCCATTGTGTTCGAAATCACACATGACGCAAGCAAGTGACCCATTGAACTCGGCAAGAATTACATCAGTGGTTTCCATATTCCAGACCTTATTGCTCTCAGGGATAGCGATCAGAGATAAAAACTCATCATTAACGAAATCAAATGAATAGACGACGTAACTAGGATAACCACCCTCGGCAAGGAAGTAATGTGTTCCATTAATATGAATGGAAGTGCCGCTAAGGTATCCCAAGTCGGGGTCATACGGCTGTGGAATTTTCTTCCAAGACCCGGTTTGGACCGTGTAAACCTCTGCATGGACTCGACTATAAAAATAGTAATCAACGATGTGGGAGCGGACAACTTTGGGATCAAACCCGAGGCCGTAAACTAGTTGATGAGTGTCAACCTCATCGGGACCGTTAACCTCGTCGATAACCTCATCGGGATCGGGGATCTGGATGGGCGAAGGAGGAATTGGCAGAGTTTCTCCGGTGGTGGGGTTCCACAGAAGCTCCCACGTAGCTCGGGGAACCCTTTTGCATAAGAGCAAAAACAATTCGTTGCAACTATCTAAAATTCGATAATTGGCTATTTCTCGGTAGTCGTAGTTTTCAGTTCTCATAAAAGATAAGTTAGGAAGATTGTCCCTTACCACCTTCAGTTGGTTGTTTTCCGTCGAGATTAGAGTGTAATCGCGGGTTCCGTTGAGTACGTGCTCAACCATGAGCATACGTTTGCCGTCGGCAGGCACTGCCGCCGGAGGCAAACCGCGGAAGGAGGAGACAATCTTAGACAGGGACGATAACTTGGATCTTAGACCCATCTCTCTCTAATGGATATTTAGGGGAAAAAAACAATACAAAAGCCCAAATTTTAACTATTACCAATAAAGTGATTTAACCCTAACTCTAGGGCTCTAGTGCTAAACGGGCTATAATAATAATAATAATAATAATAATAATAATAATAATAATAGCAAAAGTAAAAAGAATAAAATTATATTACAACGACTAGTTAACGACTGGTTTCAACGGCTATTTACTATTTACCGCTTTATATATACAAACACAAATTATATATGAACATACATTGCAAACTCTTAATAACATATATTTTCTCAAAAGAAAAAAAAAATTGAACTATTACTTACAATTACCATTTTACTACTTATTTTGTACACATTGGGAATTTTCACGAATTGTACAATTATAAATTCTTTCACTATATTTCATATTGTCGATCTTAGTCTCATGTGTTTCCTATTAATCGTTCTAACTGGCTTAAATATTTTGGTGTGAAGTACAATACCAATATTGTTAATCATTATCTTTCAAATAATAATTCATTATAACTCATATTTACATGTGAAGTGAAATAGTAAAATTGTAATATACAAGGAATCTAAGATCATATTACTTGCTGCAAACATTTACACCGCCTTACCCTAGTTAAACGGGGCTAGCCAAGCAAGTTTCGAACTAAATGGTCCGGACTTAAAAAGCCTTGATTTAAACGGACTACCAATAAAGAGTCATAACCCTTTTTTTAAGG